AACTTTCCTTCTATTCCTAGTTTTCTTAGAGCTTTTATCATGAAGTGGTGTTGGACCTTGTCAAAGGCTTTTTCTGCATCTGTTGAGGTGATCAAGTGGTTTTTGTCTTTGCTTCTATTAATGTGCTGTACTGCATTTATTGATTTGCATATGTTGAACCACCCTGCATTCCTGGGATGAAGCCAACTTGGTCGTGGTGAATGATCTTTCTGATGTGTCCTTGAATTCGGTTTGCCATTATTTCATTGAGTATTTTTGCATCTGTGTTCATTAAGGAGATTGGCCTATAGTTCTTCTTTTTGGAGGTGTCTTTGGTTTTGGAAGGAGTGTAGTACTGGCTTCATAAAATGAGTTAGGCAGTTTTCCTTCCTTTTCTATTTTGTGGAACAGTTTAAAGAGGGTTGGTATTAGTTCTTTAAAGGTCTGATTGAATTCAGCAGAGAATCCATCAGGTCCTGGACTTTTCTTTTTTGGGAGACTTTTTATTGCTGCTTCAATTTCATTTTGTGTTATAGATCTATTCAGGTGATTAATGTCCTATTGGTTAAATTTTGGATGGTCATACGTATCTAGAAATCTGTCCATTTCTTCAAGATTTTCAAATTTATTAGACTATAGGTTCTCAGAGTAGTCTCTAATGATTTCCTGGATTTCCTTGGTGTTTGTTGTTGCCTCCCCCTTTGCATTTCTGATTTTACTGATTTGGGTTTTTTCTCTCTCATTTAGTCAGGTTTTGCCAGGAGTCTATCAGTCTTGTTTATTTTTCAAAAGAACCCAACTTTTTGTTGCATTGATTCTTTGTATGGTTTTTGTTTGTTTGTTTGTTTCTATTTCATTGATTTCAGCTCTTATTTTTATTATTTCTCTCCTCTTTTTGTTTTGGGATTTGCTTGTTCTTGGTTTTCTAGGAGTTTAAGATATAGCATTAGGTCATTGATTTGAGATCTTTCTGTCCTTTTTATATGCACTCAGGTATAACTTTCCTCTTCATGACTGCCTTTGCTGTGTCCCATAGGTTCTGTAAGTCATTTTCATTAACTTCCAGGAACCTTTTAATTTCCTCTTTTATTTCATCAATGACCAATTGACCATTGAGCAATGTGTTGTTCAGCTTCCAACTGTTTACATGTTTTTTACTATTGTTTTTGTTGTTGAGTTCTAGTTTTAATGCATTGTGATCAGAAAGAATGCATGGTATTATTTCTGTTTTCTTATATTTGCTAAGGCTTGCTTTGTGCCCTAAGATATGACCAATTGGGAAGGTTCTATGTGGCTACTGAGAGAATGTATATTGTTCAGAATTTAGATGAAAATAGTCTATAGACATCAGCTAAGTACATTTGATCTATGGTGTGATTTAGATCTAGGATTTCTTTATTGATTATTTTTGTTCAGATGACTATGTATTAGTGATAGAGGGGTATTAAAGTCTCCCATTACCACTGCTGTTTGAGTTTATAATATGTTTTAGGTCCTTCAGAGTAATGATGAACTGGGGTCCATCACGTTGGGTGCATATAGGTTAATTTTTATTTCCTTCTCATGTAATTTCCCCTTTTATTAGTATGGAATGTCCTTCTTTATCTTAAACCTACATTTGATCAATGTAGGTTTTAAAGTCTACTTGTCCGAGATAAGTACTTGCTACTTCCTGCCTGTTTTCGGGACCATTGGCTTGGTAAATCTTCTTCCAGCCCTTTCACCCATCTGGTGCTTGTTTCTGTCGATGAGCTGGGTCTCCTGTAAGCAGCAAAATTTTTGGCTTCCTTTTAATCCAGTTTGTCAAATGGTGTCTTTTGATGGGGGAATGAAGTCCATTTACATTCAGTGTTAGTATTGATAGGTATGTGGTGATTCCTGTCATTTTGTTGTCTTTGTTGTTTAAGGGTTTGATTGTATGCAGCTAAATCACTCTCTTAACTTTCTGCCTTTCTTCTCCTGTGGTTTGGCTACTGCCTCTCCTTTCATGTTTTTGTATGCTTTCATTTCTGTGTACAGGATTCTTTGAAGAATCTTTTGTAGTTGTGGCTTGGTGGTCATACATTGTTTTAGCTTCTGCTTATCATGGAAGACTTTTATTGCTCATCTATTTTGGATGATAGTTTTTGCTGGGTAAAAATCTAGGGTTGAAGTTATTTTCATTCAGTGCCCAGAAAACCTACTCCATGCGCTTCTTGCTTTTAATGTTTGTTGGAAGTCTGCTGTAGATTTTGATGGGTTTACCTTTGTCTGTTATTTGTGTTTTTCTCTCTCTTACTGCCTTCAATATGTCTTTCCCTATTCTCTTGTACTTATTATTTTAACGATAATATGTCGTGGGGTAGTTCTGTTTTGGTCAAGTCTGTTTGGTGTCGGAGGCTTCTCTAACCTGTCATGGGCATAGTTTTCTCTAGATTTGGGAAATTTTCTGTTATTATTTTTGTTGAATATATTACAATTCTTTGCTTGCCACCTCTTCTTCTTCAATACCCATGATTCTCAGTTTTGTCTTTTGATGGAGTTAATAAGTTCTTGCATATTCTTTCACAGGTTTGAGTTGTTTGAGTAATAGTTCTTTGGTTTTTCCTTTAATTTCTATTTCATCTTCAAGTTTTGAGATTCTGTCTTCTACTTGTTCTAGTCTACTGGAGTGGCCTTCCACTGTGTTTTGTATTTCTGTTTCATTTTTTTTTCTGAGGTTTTCCATATCATGGGTCACTTCCTCTTTATTATTGTCAGTTTTCATCCTTAATTCACTTATCTCTCTATGTATGGTGTTCTCTGTTTCACTTTGGTATTTATTTAGGGCTCCTATGAATTCACGTATTTGTTTTGTGTCTTCTCATATTCTTTGGTTTTTATTGTCTTGGAATTTCTTGAGTGCCTCCTGTATGTTTTCGTGACCTTGTCTGGTATCACTCCATGAAATTAGTGATTTCACAGATTTCTTCTTTCAGGGTGTTCTTGTGGCTTCGTTGGTTTCCTTAGGAATAGTCTGTCTTTGTTTTGTTGGGGTCTGGAACTGGGTATCCATTTTCTTTATTTCCCTCTGACTCCTGTACTAATTTATTTTGGAGGAGGAGAATGGTTTCCATCCCTTCTTCTGTCTTCCCTTTATTCCACTTGGTGCTGTTACTGGTTCTTGTTCTATATGTATAATTAGTATTAGCTAGCCTACAATAGCAAAAGTAATGAGATCTAAAAGGAAAGAGTAAGAAGAAAAAGAGAGAAAAGAAAAAAAAAATAGAGGACCAAAGAAATAAACAGGAAGAGATGGTGTAGTAACCAACAGTGAACTAAACAAGCATTTAAGAGAAAGAGAAAGAAGAAAAAAGAATAATAAATAAAGAATAAAATTAAAAACAAAAATAAATAAATGAATAAAATTTTTTAAATCCCAGGTTGAAAAGCAATGAAGTTTTAGTATTAGTAGTGCTGGCATTACTCCTTCAGCATGCAGTTCTGTTGTAGGTATTTAAACAATAGCTCTGTCGTAGTCTCAACAGGTGGTTGGGTAGGAGACAGCTTTGTGAACCACTGTCTGTCCTGTTTCAGGCAATAGCTCATCTGCTGCCTACTGTCAGCCAGCTACTGTTGCCAGCTTTTACTAAAAGTTCCCATGGAAAGCTCCATGGAGCTTCTTGCTGCTGTTCCCTTCTCTGGTGGAGGGGTGTGCCTGCTGGCTTACCTCTGCAGGCTTTGTTTACTAAAAGTTCCCTCAGAGAGCAGGTCGTTGCCCCTTCCCCCCAGAAGTCTAATTTTCAAAAGGGTCAATGACCTTGAAGAAGACCTCTCTCCAGAGGATTTCTCCAAAGAGGAGAGAAATAGATGAATGAAGTAAAGAAGTCAGTTTAAGAGTTGGGTGACAAATTCACCAGAGAGGATTCTGAAAGAAATGGAAATCTTGGAAATGAAAAGCTCAATAAATCAAATTTTTAGAAACTTACTGAAAAACATCATCAAAAGACTAGATGAGGCAAAAGAAAGAATTATGAGGGATTGAAGACAAGGTTGAAAATTATTACATTCAAAAAGCAAATTATAAAAAAGAGACACAACTAGGACACGAAACTTATGAAAAGTTCCTGACGAGGAAGGAGCTAAGATACAAAGGTATAGAAAACCCATTCAGTGAAATTATAAAAAAAATCTCCCAAACTAGGGAAAGATATTGACATCCAAGTACATGAGATATTTAGAACTCCAAATATGCATGACAGGAAAAGAACCTCTCCATGTAGCATTTGGTGTTTGTTTTGTTTTGTTTTTTCTTTGGCGTCTTGAACTTAGGACCTTGCACTTGCTAAGCAGGTGCTCTGCCACTTTAGCTACACCCAAGCT